ATGGATAAAGGACAGAGGACTTTTAGGGCAAATATCCAGAATGAGCCTACAAAGTCTGCAAAACATATTTTGGTCAACAGAGTCAGTCACAATACATCTTACTCAACCACTTCTAAAAACAGGGCAAAACCTGGATCACGACATTCTATGGCTCTTAAGAAGACATGGTTTCCAATTTCACCTAAACCCAAACTTCAGGACACCGCAGAGGATAGAAAGGATAGACAGTACAATCGAAGAACTCATACTCAAGGCAACATATCACCAGTACAGACAGCTACTCAGAAAACATGATCTGATGTTCATAGGACAGATCCTTAACTCAACAGAAATGCAGACACTACACTGGAGAGAAGTAGGTGCAATTAACCAAACAAGGAAAAGAAGAATCCCAAAATGGTACACCAGCCTCATAGAAAACCTCACAGTCACAGCATACATACAAGACAGGACAACAGAAGCCACCGACAACTACAGAACCTTCAATCAAGGCAAACCTTTGGTTCAAATAGATACACACAAATCACACTGGAGCGCTACACTTAAACATCAGGTAGAAATCATAGGTAGGAAAAAATGAAACACTAGTTCCAACTCAGTCATCTACACATACTACACAAGAACCACAAGGGCATCCCCACTAAAGAGATGCAGGGGTTGCACAATAAGAGAAAGAGACGCATCACTGGAATCCTGTACATACTCAGCAAGGAAGCAACACATCATCCAAATCCCAGTGGAAAGATCAAATATATCATCCAGGAGAAACACAAAGGGCTTGACAACTGAATTAAGATACAGAATATCCCTGGGATCCATAACAAAGGAACTAAAAGACCTAACAGGATCCTCACAGGAAGATGACTCATATCCCAAGCTACAGATAAATAGGGGCAAACCAGGCCTAATGGACATTAACAAAATACTCAACCTAGGAGCTGCAGAACTAGAAGAACTAAAAGCCATACAGTATTAGCTTAAAGACTACCGACAGGTAACAATGTATACAGATGGCTCAGTATACGATCATGGCAGTAGACCACACATGGGCTTTGGCTGGGTCATCAAGGACAAAGAAGGGAGAGAACACACCTTCTAAGAACAGACTCAACTACATGTATCATCTATAAGGGTAGAGCTCATGGCCATAGTAACAGCAATCAGCACTTTGGGCAGGGGTACTACAGTCCAGCTTTATACAGACAGTCTTAATGTGATAATCGATCTAGCAGAAACGTTAAACAACCATCGACCAAGAAAGAAACAACACCAAAACCAAACAATCCTAGACATATACTGCTACATAAAGAAACACCAAGGCCTAACTATAATATTCCACAAGGTCAAAGCACACACAGGCATTTCCCTTAACGAGAAAGCAGACAAACTATCCAAAATCGATCCCACATTACAAGACATGAAACCCAATAGGAAGATCGTCAACATCAGGGAACATCACTAGGGATCACCACCAATTAGTATCCAATGGGATCAAACACTAACAGACACACCAGGGAAGAACATGATAAAACAAATCAATAGAGTCATAAGACTCACCAGATGGAGATTACTTAACAGAACCTAGAATAGCTTCACAGAGGAGGACTTCAGGGACATACACTGGCAATACACCTTCGACAGCCTACACCCCTCCAATATAGAAGAACAGACAATCTCAAATAAAAATCACCACTTAAGAAAGTTCAGCTTTAACCTTTGGTACGAAGAACTACCAATCAGGAGCAAACTACACAGTAGATACCCTTCAACCTACAGGAACAGCAAATGTCACAACTGCAAAGAAACAGAAAATTCCCCCACCCCTTCCTATGCAGCAACCAGGAAGATACCCTGAGAAAGAACTTTCACAGAATCCTAATAAAACATATATCAACACACATTCGCAAAGAACACAAGAAAAATTTCAAGAATACCATACAACAACGCATCCACCTGAAGACACCTAGAACCCTCAAGCTACTCATCAGGGGAGCAGTCATAAAAGAAATCCCAGGAACACTCAACAGGCTGATAGCCAGCAACAAGACGATCACAACATCAATTATCAAAACAATGAGAGAGTTGAAAGAACTCCTACATGACATATGGAAAGTACATTGTGAAAAAACTCACATACAAGTCCCAAGTCCACCAACAAACAAGACAGCAAAATGAACTAAACGAACACAAGACAAGCAACAACAGACCCAAGAAAACCCGACCAGTTAAATAACAAAGGATCAGAATGCAAGTTTGATCAGGATAGTCAACAGTTACATAAACGAATACATAAAGTAAAACACTAACATTTTCACACTATTATCATATCACCCAACAACTAGCACGGCCTTGGCATGTTAGTTTTCTTTCCCCTGAGGAAAGGGCAACAAGTCGCAAGGTAGTTTATAGCTTATCGAGTTTTGTTATTACTAAAACCACATCCCTGTACCTTAGCATTAGATATACTGTATAAATGTAATTGGAAACCAATAATAAAACAAGGCTGAGCCAGTTAAAAAAAAAAAAAATAGATGTTGATGTTAACAAAAGTTTTAAAACAAAGGTAATTATTATTATTATTATTATTATTATTTATTAATTTATTTATTAATAATAATTTATTTTATATAGGTTCGTGAATTATATAATTTATGAATTATAGAAACTATTCATGAATTTACATCTTCTGGATGTATCAAAAAACCTTATTCATTACTTTCTGAATGGATAAAAATTGCATGAGAATTTCTTGATACAAATTTAATTCGAAATTCATTTAAATGTTGCAAGATATAATAATTTTTTTTTTTTATTCACAACCTTATACTCTTATTTTTTTCAATAAATATATTTTTATCTTATTTTATATATTTTATAATTTACTTATATTTCACTCACACTTTATGTTTCGAAAATTCCTTTTATTTTATATTTATATTCTAAAACCTATTTACTTTATTACTTCACATTTCATAAATCTCTACGTTCGATAATCTACCTACTCTATGTTTCATAAATCCCACTTATACTATTTTGCAACCCTATTCACTATATATACACCTTACATTCTACAAACCTACTTCTATGCTCCGTGAGTCTACATGCTCTAAACACTTTGTTACCTCACATTCGCAAATCTCAAAGTTCCGCAATCCACTCCACTCACCTTATACTTTATATCTTATAACTGATCCTCTTTAAATTCCTTGCATTTAGTAAACTCACCTACTTCTCATATTATAATGTTTGTTGTTTCGTAAAAAAAAAAATAGACGTGTATATACAAAAAAAAATAAAATAAGTGCGCAAAAAAATAAATAAATAAATAAATAAATGCGTAAAAAAAATAATTTGATTCTTATATTTATTGATTGGCAGATTGATATGCACCATTAAAACATCCATGCATGAACCGGCAAGCATTCTACAATTTGATTAATAAAGTCCAGTCAGTATGAATAGTCGAAAAAAATTTTTTTTTCCTGTAAATAATAAATATAAATTAGTTATTAAATTATAGTTAATAAATATATACAGTATTTCAACTCGGCAACTTGCTGGCAATGATTCTTATAGTTAGAGCAATTATAGGAGGAGCAAAGTATTGTCCTCTAGATCGAACTTAAAGATAGTCTTAGGACATATACCAACGACGAGTTTTTCATCACGTGAAAATTTGCCAAATTGTGACAGTTAAACCAACCTTTTAATTTTATTCGTGTAACGAAATCATTTCACTAAATAAATATAAAACTTGATTTGTGCATGAACATACTTATATAACCTTTCTCCTTCGTATGAAATAAAATATTTGTTTTAGCAATTGTTTCAGTCATCGATGTTAACCATATAAAGTCCTCTAAGCCCCGATTAAAAAAAATTTTTATAAAGAGCTTCGTTTAAAAATTTTAAACCAAAATTGACTACCAAAATGCCAGATTCAGCTGTTGAATTCGATTCACGCCTCGATATGCTAAATATAAAGTATGACACCCTGAAAGATGAGACTTTGACATTGTCAACTCCATTATCAAGTGAATCCAAGTTCCGTGAGGAAATGCTTGATAGACTTATTTCTGAACGCCACATTAAGGTGACTAATTGTTCGACCCATGTTGAAGACACATCTGATACGGAACAGAGTAAATTGAGACTTTTATTTGGTTTATTAAAAAACTTCATTGGTGTCAAAGATATCGTCTCTTTGTGAGTACAATCGTATACCTCTTTTTGTCTTTGTCAAATTAATTTAAAGAATTCTTGTTTCTTTTGTAGACGCGTCTCTCTTCCGTCACAACTGCTTGAACCCATTGGTAACTTGGAGTATTGGAATTACAACGATAGACCTGATTATTTAATTTGGTAACTTTATCTCACATGTTTTTTTTTTTTTTTTTTACATGTTGCTGACTTAAAATTTTTTAGTATCGGAGATTCTGATGATCCACTCGAGAGGATGATCGCCGCGATTCGATGGTGGCATTCAAAAGATTTGAAACATGTGGTATATATATTTTTTAAACTTTGTGAACTATAAAATTCTGTTTATTTTTAATTACAATACATGTTATCTAATTTTTTGTTAGAAAGGAAAATTAGTAAAACCATATAATTCCATTCTTGGAGAGCAATTCATCTGCCATTGGGATGTAACAGCTCCAAAATTCGACAATAATGGTCACTTTATAGACAACACGAACGATGAAATCAAATCACTTAATAAAGGGAAAAAATATAGAGTTACATGTCTTAACGAACAAATCTCTCACCATCCACCCGTTTCGGCTTTTCATTATCATTGCAAAGAAACTGGCGTCTATGCTTGCGGGATAGATCAAATCTCAGCAAAATTCACTGGAACCTGTGAGTTCGGATATATTGAATGAGATATCATATTATCAGAATATTTACTATTTTTTTAAAAAAAAATAAACAAAAATAGCTGTAAAAATCGAGCCTGGAGAACAAAACAAAGGAATATATATTAATTTGGAAAACAGGGGTAATGAAGAATACTTGTTGACACATCCGGTAGCCTCAGTCCATGGATGGTTAAAAGCATCATTATACATTACTATTGGAGAATGTTGTATTGTTAGATGTTCAAAAACAAAACTGAAAGCCATTTTGGAATACAAGGAGGAGGTATGGTGTTAATATAATTATCTAATTTATTATTTTATGCTAATACGGTTTATCGACATTTTAGAAGTGGCTTGGAAGACCGAAATTTGTGGTAGAAGGAAAAATATTCAGTTATGATCCAGAGAATGATTGCGTGAACAAATTGAAAAACGTGAATGAAAAAGATGTTATTGCAGAGATTACAGGAAGTTGGCGCGGACAAATATATATTAAAAGATTGGACACAAATGTACGTAATATGTTCATAATTGATCTCTTAATAAGGGTTTTTAATAATTCAATATTTATTTATTCCTAGAAAACCAAATTGCTTTTGGATATGGAAAAAATTCAACCGATACCCAAAAGAGTAAAACCAATCGCAAAGCAAGGTCCATTTGAATCGCGGAATATATGGAAACCTGTATCAATGGCATTGTTTCAAAAGGATTATTCGAAAGCAACTAAAGAAAAGAACTTAATTGAGGAAAGGCAGCGACAGAAGGCAGCGGAAAGGAAAGCAAAGAATGAAGAGTTTGTGCCTATCTTTTTTAATTTACCGGTTGTTGACGGAAGACCTGAATTAAAAGAACATGCACAGGATGTACTGGCTAAAGAACGTGATTTAATATTATAATTTAGAAAATATTTATTTCTGAACATTTAATAAAAAAAAACCTGTTATATTACTCGTATTAATATATATTTAGTGAATTCAAAATAAAAACAATAATAATACTCATCCATTCAAAAATTATATAGTGATGATTCAATAAAGATTCGGCCATTTAATAACCATTTAATTCCGTAAATGATTTCTAAGACGTATATGGAAAAAAAAAAACATATATCTATTGTAGAATTTATTTGAACAGTTGTATATTTACAAAAATATATTTTAATATTTATAAACATATATTTGAAAGATAAATTATTTTATTATTCATATAAACAATTTTATTTTAAGTTTAATTATTATATAATATTGTTTATAATTCTTGATTAAATTTTGCTTAGTTAAAAAGATTATTTATTTATTTTTATTTTTTTTTTTTAACCTGCAATCATGTCACAATGACTTGTTTTTATTGAGAAATTAAAACAAAATCTACAATAGTTTATTGACTCTTTCACAATATAACTAATTAATTATTATATTTAAATATTCTAAGTCAAATTTTGGAAACAATATTATACTCTTTTGATACAATTGAATTAGTTACTATCTATTAGAATTATTATCAACAGTTTATCATTATTAATTGATCCAAAAATCAATAAACTATTAAATTTAAAAGAAAAAAAGAAAAATGAATAAGAGAAAAAAAACAATTCAAAGTTTAACAAATAAGTTCAAAATAAAACCAACTTCTTTTTAAAAGGAATTTGTCTGATTAAAATAATTTTTTACTTACTTAAATTTTGAAAGAAATCTTTTTTGTCATTACCTATAATATTAAATAAGTTAATTAAATTAATTTTTTATTTAAGCAAGTATTGAATTGAAATATATCAAAAAAAGTATTTGACCTCAGTTTTTGTATATTAAAACTTTATTATCACTTGAAACACTTAAGTAAATATATAATTCATATTACTTTATTATTTGATCTTTTGTTTTTATAAATGTTTTCACTAAGAAACTTGGATTTCTAGATATAAACATTTCCAAAACATTCTTTCTAATTATCAATAATATTATTAAAATATATGATTATAATTAATAGAAACTTATTTATATTTTAGAAACTAATATGTTTTATGTTAATCAATTATTTTTAATAAGAATTTATATTATCAAAAATTTAAAATCAAATTAAAATAGATAAAATTTTATTATAAAATTATAAAAATACAAGTTTTAAAATAATCTAGATAGTCAAAAAGAAAGAAAATAAAAATTTTTATATAAAAAAATCTTTATAAATTTTTCTCTTCAAAGATTAAGAAGATCTTTAGATATTTTATAATTAATTCTTCTTTTTTTGAGAACTTTTTATTATTGATATCAAAAGTATTACTTGATTTTTCTTGACTATTAAAAATAAGTTTCTAAGTGAAAAAATTTGTGAACAATAGAAAAAGAATAGAGATGACTCTTAAAATTAAAATTTAAAAAAGGTATTAAGCCTTTATTAGGATTCTCTTTTTACCAATTCTCTAATTACATATAAAAAAGATATTTGCAAGAAGTTTTATATTTCAAGACTAATAAAATCTTATCACTTTCCTTAAACCAACTTGCAAATAAGATTTTTAAGAGGTACTTTACAATTCCCACTACCTTCTTTATATTTTGTTATAAAAAATTTGTTTTCTAGTAGCCAGAAAAACAATATTTATCCTTTTTATCAACAACAAAAAAGTTCTGAAAGGAAGTAGACCTAACCTCTCTATCTCTTCTTTACTTGTTAAAGAAATATTATAAAGTCTTATATATAATAAAAGACTCTTTAGAAGATAACTTTACTATTTTCTTGTCATGGTTTAGATTCCAAAAGTACTTTTTTATAGTTTTCTTTGTAGAATTTTACTTATCTCAGTTTGACCCTAAATTTTAAATAGCACAAAGTTTCTGGTATAGTGATTGGATAATGGAAACACATCAATAATTCAAGATGTAAATAAGTTTCTATTGATTATCTCATTTCTGAATGCATTTTTTCAGTACCCATAAGAATCTGAGATTCACTATAATTTGCAAGCCAGTCACATATGTAGATACAGAATATGAAATCTATAATAATATTGACTATACAAAAAGAATAAAAAAACTTGAACTAGAATATATTGAACAATAAATAATAATTCCCTTTAATCTCCCCTTTTTTAGTAAATACAATCAGAAAAAAAAGACAATAAGATGTAGAATCCTTTAGAAGAGTTTTTGATTACTTAGCATTAATATATTGAAAACACAACTTCTTGATTTGTTAAACAATTACTCTTGTCTCTTTGAAATACTCTTTTGATAGTATTATGTTATAAAAATTTTTTGGTTAATGCAATGGAGTTAAAACTTCATATGAGAAATCCCTAATGTTGAATATAATGGATATTATAAATGAATCTTTGACATATTAGTCCCCCTTTTTATGAAATCTAGAAGTAGTGATAAGTTACTTAGTAAATTATATTTTGTTATATTTCTAGGAAGTACCAGGCATAGTTTATAGATAATTAGGGATCACAATTTTTATTTGAATCTGAATGATTCATGAATTTGATCTGAACGGATTGGATCAGATTTTAAATTTTTTGATCCATTTGTATATAAATCGAATACAGATTTCAAATTTTGAAATCCGATCCAATCAGATTTTAAATTTTATATCTGATCAGATTTCAAGTTTTAAAACCTAGCCAGGTCAAATAAAAATCAGCAGTTTAAATGTAGCTATTTAAGGTAATTATAAAAAAACCCCCTGGTTTTTTTTTATATTCCTTTAACACCTTTACATGTTTCTTTAAAATTTTGTGATATTTTTTATGATATTTTTCTCATTGTTACATTACTAGTATTATTTATATCAAAATAAAATAGAATATGATAGTTCTTTTAACAATTTCAATGAAATAAATGATGAAAGTTTCAGTTTAGATAGCTATAAATTGAGCAATACTAGTAATGTTACTACAAGTAGTTTTTTGGAGGTATCATCGAGTAATAAAATAAATTATAGAAGTAAAGTGTGGAGCCATTTTACAAAGGATTCCAATTTCAATGAAAGTAAAAAAGTTTCCTGCAATTATTGTAGCCCCAAATATACCTATAATGGAGGCAGCACCTCTAATCTTTTCAAACACTTAGAAAAAAATAACCCAATAAAAATAAATCCAACTTCTGATAAATCTTTAATCGAAAATTTTTTTAATACTACAGTGGTCAGTATAAATATATTTATTAAATTTAAAATTATGCTAAATTTATTTTTTATATAGTGGATACATGAACCTGAAAAAATAAAACAAAATCTTATTCAGTAGATTGTTATAAACCAATACTTTTTTACAATTGTAGAGGAGCCAGCATTTTGAACATTTATTTAATCAATTTTACAAAAAACTAAAATACCAGTTGTTACAACTGTTAAAATATATATAATGGATTTGTACTTGGTTGATCAAGAAAAATTAAAAAAATTTTGTAAGAAGTGAAGAGTCGTATTTCATTTACTCTCGATATTTGAATATCAACTTTGATGAAGACATTTCTAACAATAACTGTACATTTTATCAGCAGTGATTGGAAAATGCATAATATAATATTAGATTTTGTACAAATTTGGGGCATGTATACAGGTGAAAATATCAAAGAAAGTTTTGTATCGTGCTTAAAAAAATATATGATACAAAAGAAGATAAATTTATTTTACATTAATATATTGCAGTTACATGTTATAACATATATATATATATATTTTTTAAAGATAATGGGAATAATGACTGACAATACAAAAAAAAAAAAACTCTTTCCGCTGATCCTAAATTTCCTAAAAAATTTCCTTTTTTGGCAATTTTCTTGGAAAAACC